ATCATTGTCATTTACTATTGTTGTTATTGCTGCTGTTACCTAATTGTTGTTGCATAATTTAATTATCTTTTCATTTTATTATTGTTAGTGATCTAAAGTTTTACTTTTGTTTTGTTGTGATTAATTAACTCTCGTGTTGCTGTGAATAATTAGTAGCTAACACACAATGCTTGTTAATTTCAGGAACAAATGAAGCATATTGATTAGTAAGTTTTTCAAATATATATAGTATATATATATATATATCAAAATTGAAATTGAAGCAGCTATTTTATTAATCCAAATCATTATCGTCGCATTTGTCATATCATTATTATTCCCACACAATAATGATAATTGTTTGTCACATCACTACCATTCCTATCATATTTACCACTGCATTTATCATTGCTATCACTTTTATCCACATCACTATCATGATACTATTCCATTTGTCATATCATTGTCATTATTGTCAGATTTATTTATATCACTATCATTACTACCATATTTGTCATATCACTATTGTTACTATCAAATTTATCCATATCGTTATCACTACTGTTAATTTTATCACTACTACTACCACATCGATATCACTGCTATCGCATTTATTATTTTCAATTCTAATAAGACATTAAATTAGCATATATATATATATATATATAGAAAATTGTTAATTGATTGACAAATATTATATACAATTAAATTAGTGTCATAATGAACTAAGAATTATTCACACATAATATCATCCAGTAAAAATAAATTTTCTATAATAGAAATTTTGGGACTATTAATTTTAAATTTAAAATTCAATTATTTTCAATTATATATGTATATATATTTATATCCATAATTGATGATATTGTGATAATGATAACGCTATTATCACTAGGGAATTGTTAATTTGTTATTAAATAATAATTCCTTTTTAATAAGACAAAATTTGCATACAGATAATTTTCTGCTAATCCCAATTTAAACGATACTTATTGCAAACGGAATTAATCATAATAATGGATTCAAAAGATGCATCAATTATATCAAAAGTTCGTAATTTTCCGTATATAACAATCCGGTTTATGAAAAGTGTCAATCCGGTATTATTGTTTATTAATTGAAAATTGTAGTGATACGCTGAAAACAATTATTTTGAATATATATATATAATAATAACAATATGAACAAAGTAAAAGTGAATCAATTGGGAGAAATAGGATGATATATAACGATTAAAATCTATGGTCAAAGGTCATTCAAATGAATGACAAAATTGCTTATCTGTCATCTTTCCATTTCTATCCAAATCCCTATTAACTGTTTTTGACAAATATATTATTTTTTTTGTTAGAATTATACATTGAATTCATTATATTTTTTCATTTCTTTAATTCAAATAATAATTTTTTCTTATTTTTTTAAAATTTATCTTTTTGTTTTATTGCTAATTAATTAATTAATCAATTCACTATTATCATTGTTTCTGTTTTTTTTTCATTTATTTTAAATCTTTTATCTATATTTTTGCATAATTTACCTTTTTTTTTTACTACAAATATCCAGCTATTTTCCATATCCTAAATTTCTTTATAAATTTTAGTGCAAGCTAAATCACTCTTTGAATTCTTTAGCAAATTCATTATTGCTTATTCGAAATTAATTACTTAATTACTATGATTTTA